ATGGGAACTATTAAAGAACAATTAAAGAGAAAAATAAGAGGCCGCGAGAAATTTTAAAAAGATGCCAGAATTATGCTATTTTGACACGTGGTCGTCTTCTATTAGCTGTTGGGCGAGGCTGTGAAGGTTTAAGCTCGTAGAGGGAAGAAGAGCCCCTTGCTTGCTAGGTTATCTTCCGCACACGTGAGCTCTTAGGTGAGCTCTTACCGAGATCGGGACGATACATTCGCAACCATTCATATGCTTCCGGAAACCGGGTGTAGGGAAGCATATGAATGGTTCGTTTCGATCTCGGTAAGAGCTCACTGTTTGTTATGGAATTCTTTTCAGCTTGAGCATGATCACCAGGTAACATCAGTGACGAATTCGAACCAGCTGACGCCCCAGCGGTGTTGAAGTTCCTGTGGCACGGCACCGAAACGAGGAACGTTGCTTCGATCATGGCGAACGGAATACAGTCAAGCTGTGCTAATGCTTACGGGAGGCCTGAGACTTACTTCTGGTTCACACCCACGCCCAGTTATGCGAGGCTCCACGCTAGCAATGACTCCAAGGACTACACACGCTTGTGCTGTGTGCTACACTCTTCGCGCATAAGGTGGACGATAATCGTTTCACGGTGGACAGCGAGCGCCCATATCTCGTTCTTCCGCTAGCGGAGTGGCATCTTCGCCGCCAAGAGCTCCAGCCCAGCCAAATGTGCTAGCGGGAGAAAACATTACAAAGAAGATAGACAAAGGAAAAAAGACAAGACCGATAGCCCAGAAAGAATTTTCTTTTCCTCGCTACTTCACCGGATTTCCGCGAACAAGCGCCATAAAAAAATCACTGTTGCAGAAGAAAGCTTTACTAACGAATCGCGGATCCCACAATGATTCTTTGACCAATAAAAGTCAATGTAAGTCAACGGCTCTTTCTCGGGCTTGCTTATTCAGGAGTAATAAGTAACTTCCCCTTTTCGTCTCGACTCTGGCCGAGCTAGGGACCTGAGAGAAATGCGATGGAACGGGACGAGGTCGGGCCATGGAGCAAGATCATTCTCGTGCCAAGGTTTGTTTCTCAATTTTGGGTCTTCTTCTTTTGCTATTCCATCACCTTTCCTGATTGAAAGAAGAAAGAAAGATTGGTGTAAGGAAGGCTAGCCTGCGGTTTTAATCCACAACAAGGTACGCAAAGCCTTAAAAAGAAATATCAAGTTTGATTTATCAAAGTGCAAGCTTTTTCCGAATGGCTTGGAACCAAGTTAAGAATCCAGCATTCGCATGCAGCAAAGATTGAGAGATGTCGGAGATGAAGATCGTGACAACTAGAGTTTGCCAATCAGGACCAATGGTTATGGAATGTGATGACCATTCTTGGCTGGAGGTAGCACTTACTCTTTTCAGCTTGCAAGGAATTGACAAGTTTTATAAGAGCTGGACAGTTTGGAAATTTAATTACAAATTCGACAATACTTAATAATACTTTTACTTTAACTTGACAACCAAACAGTTTACGTAATAATAGTGTTATTCTTGTTTATCAAGTTGCTCAATGTATAGTTCATTAAAAATTCTCAAATTTTTGAAAAGGAGAAAAGTTTATATGAAGCTGAATGAATATTATGGGCATAAAAGATAAACCACATTTTTCTCCAATAATTATATGCCAATTTTTTTTTTTTTGAATTCTAAGTTTATATTTAACTAGTGATTTCATCCATAATAAACTATTTGAGTAAACATGTAGTTCAATCTCTTTAAATAACAAGATAACTTCTTGAAATCAACCATATTATAAGTGTTTACAGTCCAATTATACTCTCTAGAGTGTTCAAGCACCATTTAGAAAAACTTATTTTAAAAGGCATATATCACACCTTACCTTTTGGCTCCAATACTCTTTTTAAAGTTAAAGGTTACTACTACCTCCTCCTCAATCAAGGCATGGCTATGACTTAAATAAAATTCCTATGTTCCACATATAGAATTTTGGCTAATGGTTTTGTAAAGATCTTGGCAAGTTATTGTCAAAAGGAAATGTATTGACCCTTTAGTAATTTTTTGTATACTAAGTTCTTAACATAGTAATAGTGTTTTGACAATATGTCATAACTTTTAGTATTGTGGTATTTTAACTTTTTTTTATCAACATAAAGAGCAATTGGTATGGAGGATTGCCCAAAACCTCCAAGACATTCTTGAAACCAAAGAATTTACTTAAAAATAGCAAAATGCCCTACTTCTTTGGAGGAAAGAGTAATATAAATTTGTTTTTTTAGACCCTTTGTGGATTTATGATTACCTTTGTAATCTAACAAATTGCTGTCATTATAACTTGAACCATAAAGCACTCCAAAAGCAATAGTTTGCTTTATATAGCATATCATAGATTTAGATGTTCCAATATTTTCTACCAAAATTAGGAGAAAATTAGTTGATAATATAAGCCACACCACAACGTACATAAAACTCCCAAGAAAATTTCAAATTAATACATTGGACATTTAGAATTTGTTAAAAACTTAATATTTTCAGGTTTTATAGGCAAATGAGAAGGATTTATCCATAACTTTTAAGTACTTTAGTCAGGTATTTTTGTTATGGGAGATGTTAAAAGATTTTATTTTTCTATCATGGTGAATCTTAATATCAATAAAGTATCCATCTATTAAAAAATAGTTTCCAAGTTTAGCCTTAAAAATCTGTAAATATTCACAATTTTTGCTAATAAAAAATGATTTATCAATGTAGAGAGCAATAATAAATAAATTGTTCCCTTCTCACTTGCTATAAATATTGGATTTAGGAGTGTAAGAAAATCCTTTAGCTTTGAAAAAAGTATTGATTTTCTACCACAATGCTTTAAAGGTTTATTTAAAGTTATAAAGAACTTTTTTTGAACTTCCACAAGATATATAGATTAAGTATAGTATTTTGGCTATTAAATGTAGATCTTCTTGCAAATTTCTATTTAGGAAAGTAGTCTTGATATCAATGTGATAAATCTCAAATAGCAAAAGTAAACAAAATTTTAACACTTATCATATTAACTATGGAAGAGTATATCTTAAGATAATCTATAACATATTGTTTTTTTGTAGCCTTGTACAATAAGTTAAGCTTTATGACAGTTAATAAAACCATCAGAGTTGAGTTTTGTCTTATTGACCCATCAACTCCTAAGAGTTTTAATTGAAATTGGAAGAACCACTTTATAAAAAATGTGCATACAAATGAATGATAGATATGATTTCTTTATCCATTGCTTGCTTCCATTGAAATAAACAAGGTTGGGGTATTTTCAACAGGTTATGAATTAAATGCTTCAATATATCTAATTTTCAAGATATAGTCAAGTGTTGTTCTTGGTAATGCCAAAATATGAATGAAGCAACCTATTGGCAAGTCTATGTTGCTTTATCATCTCTGGTACAACCTTTAGCTTACTTTGCTGATAGAAAATTTACAAACTCTACAAAACAAAATCTTATGAAGCTAATACATTTGAATTGGTATGTTATTTTCTTAGTTCATCTCCTTCATTTCCAGCTCAGGAAATGCCTCTAAGTCTTCTGTACATTGTGTCTTTTCTCATTTTTTCCAGAACAACACGATGTGCATGTCTTGCTTAAGAGGAATCCTTTCTTCACAGTGCAAATGCACCTGGTTTGCATATGAATCAATGTGAAAGGATCATCCCAATCTTGGTAACAGAAGTTAGTGCTTCTCATGAATTGCAAGGGAGCTCTCAAAGTTTCCAGGCTCATGGTATCAAACTCAATGATTTCAGCTACTATCAATGATTGATGCTTGTGCTGGTATGACAAGCCAAGTCTCTTAGATTGTGGGAGATGCCAGCAAGCAAGAACACATTAATCTCCATGTATGGCTAGTGTGGAGGCTCTATATTAGTGTTCCAAGATTTGTGGATAGAACCATCATGATATTGTATCATGGATCTTGATCCTCTTTTACTATGCTTAGAATGGAAGGAGCAAGGAGTCTTTGGAGATGTTTTGGGAGATCAGGCTAAATGGATTTTGTCAGCCAGACACCACCTTTCGCAGACGGCTGTATTTAATCTCAATAGGGTGCATGTAGTAGAGATGATATTGTGCTAGGGCATATTCTCAAAGACAAAGCATGTCTAAGGTCTAAGATGTAATTTACTTTTACTTGGCTTACAAAATGGGTTTGTAATTGACTTTTACTTGGCTTATTTGGCAAGTTGATGGATTTTAATTTTTATTCTTTTTTGTTTTCAATTCTTCAAAGTGAAGTCTAGTTTATTTTTGAGTATAAATTAACTAGAGGTAATTCTGTTTAATCAATCACATAGATATGTTAGATTTGGATTGTGCTATGGATATTGTTCAGTCATCAATTATGATTTGCATGTAGCAATGCTTAGTTTGCTTAATAGTAGTGTTATTCCTATTTATTAACCCAATTAATCAAATGGAAGTTTATAAATATAAAAACATGATTAATCTTATTGAATATGGTAAAATAAACTAGAATATACTAGGAAGTGTTTAGGAAAGTTTATACATTATAAAAAAGTTTAAAAATAATAAATAAAAATAATAAAATATTTATAAATTATAAATATAAGATTAATATAAATGAATAACAACCGTTGGATGGTAGAATATCCTTAAATATCTAAGAATATTCTAAGTATAGGTTAACCATATTATTATAACTATTGAAGATTAGCTTTATATAAGAATTTTCCTAAGCTGGAATTATAATTACAAAACACACGGGATAAATCTTCACTTAGTGTTTAAACATCCTTTTATGTTTAATATTAAATATGGTAACAGCATTTTAAAAACACCAATGATTCCTCTTTGTGCTGGGCTCTTCATCAAAACTGCCATCTTGCTCTTAACTAGGTTTGTACACAAGATCAAAACACACAGCACCTAATAAACCTACAAATAAAGAATAAAAAAAACTAATAATAAGAGCTTTAAAAAAACTTGGACTCTTACCCATATAAACATTGATGAACTTTTGGCACAAGTACCACCATCCTTTCAGATTTTTTGACTTTGGAAATCAAGTTACCCAATGCTTGATCGGTCATAAAGACCAGAAAAGGCGCACAATTAACCTCCCACAATTAGAAAATAAATACCTTCATTCATCCATCGCTTTATTGTCCATATTTTTTTCTCAAAGTTTTCTTCTCAATTGGCTTACTGTTCTTTATAAACATTTTTGTTATTGTACATTATATTGAGCTTTATAAAGATTTTTTATACCTGTTTTTGCTCTCAATAAATAAAAAGAAGTCCTACAGCTTGTTCTCAACATCCACCAGCTATAAATGGATGATGCTATCAGGTCTATGGTTGTCAACACCAACCCAATAAAACTGCTGACTGTTGTCTCTTAGGAAGGCCTGAAATACATCTGCTGTATGTATTTGATGAGGCTGATGTGTCGGATGTCCAAACTTTACACCAGGTGGCAGCCGGAACTTCAAAGCTTGCATACTTGCAGGAATGCAGAAATTGAAGGGAAGAATTTCTTCGAGTCTAAACTCAAATACTATTCCCCTTTCACTTTCTATCAAATGTGTACAATTTTGCTACTGCCATCAAGGCTTACAATGTATTAGGAGCAACAGACGAAGCCAAGGAAGTTGAAGGCAGGATGGTGAAGGTTGAGTTGCTGGGAACAGGCGCAGCTTTGCACTCTCAAGCATTCAAAAGTGGCTATGACACGGACATCAGTGTGGCGAACGCATTGGTGGACATGTATGTCAAGTGTGGGAGTTGGCCAACGCTCGAAAAGTTTTTGATGGGATGACGCCTCAGGATCCCGTCTCATGGAACGCTTTGATCCTGGGATATGTCACAAACAGAGAAGCAGAAGAGGCCTTGAGTATCTTCGAGACAAACAGTAGCTGCGTTCCAACCTCTTGAACGTTTTGTGCGGCACTCAAGGCTTGCAGCAGTCTAGCAGGGAAGACAGATGGGGATGGAAGGCTCGTGAAAGTAGAGGAGGCACTCGAGAAAGCCGTGGGGATTCACGCTCGGGCGGCCAGCTTTGAATTCGACTCGGACACTTATCTAGCCAGCTCGCTCGTCAGCTTCTACGCCAAGTGTGGAAGCATCCGGGACGCCTGGAAGGTGTTCCAAAAGGTGCGTCTTCACGACGCGGTGTCCTGGACTGTGATGATACTCGGGCTCGCCCAAAGTGGTCAGGGGGAGCTTTCCCTGCAACTCTTCCATCAAATGCGAGCACAGGGATACAAAACCGACGCACCAACTTTCGTGGCTGCTCTCAAAGCTAGCAGCAGCGTGGGAGCCTTGGAGCCTCTGCAGGGAATTCACGCAGATATCTCCAGGTGTGGACTCGAGGACGATCCCGTTGTCGCGAACGGCGTCGTCAATGGCTATGGCAAAGCCGGGGCCGCAGCGAAGGCACAGCTGATCTTCGAGTCCCTGGAGAAACCAGACGCGGTTGCCTGGACGTCCGTGATAGCAGCACACAGCCGCGACGGGGACACGTTCAAGCTCTTCGACGAGATGCAAGATGAAGGCCTGCAACCAGATGGGATCGCACTTCTTTGCATGCACGTCGTTCGCGACAACCAGATCGAGCGCTAGTCCAAGGAGATGGAAGCGAACTACTTCAAGGAGATGGAAGCGAAGTATGGAGTTCGTCCCGGGGCCGAGCACTACCACTGCACGGTGGACGCTCTCGGCCGCGCAAACGAGCTGGAGGAAGAGGTGGAGATGGTGAAAGCCATGCCTTGCGAGGCAAGTGGTGTTGCTTGGAGAACGGTGCTGGGCGGAAGAATGCGGCGGTCGGGAGGCTTGCTTTCGATCGGCTGGTTGAAGTGGAGGCGAGGGACGAGGCGGGGTATTTGTTGATGGAGGCGATCTACGCGAGCAGTGGCATGAGGGAGGAGCAAGCTCAAGTCCAGGAGTTGAGAAGGAAGAACATACCAAAGAATATCCAGCTCTAGATAGAGGAAAAAATTAAAGGTTGGGGATGCCAGGAGTCGAACCCGGAAATTCTTTTCAGGCTTGAAAGTTTGGAAACCACTACACCCCCTTTAAGAGCTTGTGGAAGAAAGGCGCTTTAGGTTTCTTATATATGGCAACTATTAAAGAGAAAAAAAAGAGGCCGCGAGAAATTTTGAAAAGATGCCAGAATTATGCTATTTTGACACGTGGTCGTCTTCTATTTGCTGTTGGGCGAGGCTATGAAGGTTTAAGCTCGCAGAGGGAAGAAGAGCCCCTTGCTTGCTAGGTTATCGCATTCTCTGTATGCGCTCTTCGCCTCCAACAGCTAGGGCGTCGAAATCCATCACCTTTGTGCGCGTCCGGGCCTCGCGCTCTTATAATCCGGCTTCCGGCCGCCAGCAGGCAAGTGATCGCGCTCGATCGATCCTTTCTCCGATGTCAAGCATTTCTAATCTTTCTGCTGCTTGCGCCAATGCAAAGATTTCGAGCGTGCGATGGAGCCTGGCAGTGGAGGAGACGAAGAGATTCTAGAAATCTCGGCAAAGGTCCCATTCTATGTTATAATCCCTTTGACGGCAGCGCTGTAGTGGATCTGTTCCACAGAACGATGAGCCACGACTAGCCGCGCAACCTGTAGACGAGTTTCCGGTACAATGCAGATTTCTTTCCTAGGATTTGTCTCGAAATCTGGCAATAATCTTTCATGCAGGGAAATGAGAACCCAGCGCTCGAGCAACCGGTATGCTTTCAAAGATTTGACTCGATCTTCTCTTTAAGAGTCGTTAAAAGTTTCTTCTACAAAATTCCAGGCCCCGCGAGCTCACGGCAGATTGGTACAAGCGTTGTTCTTGCCAAAATATGAGTCCGAGCGATATGTGTTTTGCAGCAAGGATTGGCGAGTCTATGTTGCTGGGCCTTATCATCTCTGGTAGCCCTCTGTGCTTCTGCGTGCTCTCGACAGTCCAAGTAAAAAAGGTTCGTTCACAGCTTTAGCTTACTTTGCTGATAGAAAGTATTCTAATGCAGAATCTCCAAGACGATCAAGCTCACCAAGCTGACACTGAGGATGACGACGACGCACTTGAATTGGTATGCTATTTTCCTAGTCCGGATCTTTGCCTTCATTTAAGCGTTGAAATCGTGCTCAGGATATGCAGCCTCTCCGAGGGCTACCCTACATCGTGTCATGTTCGTTCATCCAGAAACTGGTCAACAGCACGGAGTGCACCGATGTGCCCATCTCGCTCAAGCGGAATCCTTTCCTCACGGTGCAAAATCGCGGACATACGCTCCCTACACCCGGTTTGCGGAAGCATATGAATGGCTGCGAATGTATCGTCCCGATCTCGGTAAGAGCTCACTGTTTCTTATGGAATTCTTTTCAGCTTGAGCATGATCACCAGGTAACATCAGTGACGAATTCGAACCAGCTAACGCCCCAGGGGTGTTGAAGTTCCTGTGGCACGGCACCGAAACGAGGAACGTTGCTTCGATCATGGCGAACGGAATGCAGTCAAGCTGGGCTAATGCTTACGGGAGGCCTGAAACTTACTTCTGGTTCACACCCACGCCCAGTTATGCGAGGCTCCACGCTAGCAATGACTCCAAGGACTACACGCTTGTGCTGTGTGCTACACTCTTCGCGCATAAGGTGGACGATAATCGTTTCACGGTGGACAGCGAGCGCCCATATCTCGTTCTTCCGCTAGCGGAGTGGCATCTTCGCCGCCAAGAGCTCCAGCCCGGCCAAATGTGCTAGCGGCAGAAAACATTAGAAAGAAGGTAGAGAAAGAAAAAAAGACAAGACTGATAAACATCCATTGAGCTAGCTGATGATCACTACTTCACCGGATTTCCACGAACAAGCGCCAAAAAAAATCACTGTTGCAGAAGAAAGCTTTACAATGAAAACGATACTTTGACCAATAAAAGTCAATGTAAGTCAACGGCTCTTTCTCGGGCTTGCTTATTCAGGAGTAATAAGTAATTTTCCCTTTTCGTCTCAAATCTGGCTGAGCTAGGGACCTGAAAGAAATGTGATATAATGGGATGAGGTTGGGTCACAGAGCAAGATCATTCTTGTGCCAAGGTTGGTTTGTCAATTTTGGGTCTTTTTCTTTTCCTTTTCCATCACTTTTCCTGATTGAAAGAAGAAAGAAAGATTTGTGTAAGGAGCTTGTGGTTTTAATCCACAACAAGGTACACAAAGCATAAAAAGAAAGATCAAATATGATTTATTAAAGTTGAAGTTTTTTCCAAATGGTTTGACACTCTACTTTTTAAGTTAAGCCTAACTAGACTTCCCAAATGTCAATTAACATATAGCGCAATTCCTTTAGCCAACCAACAAAGTTAAATTTTAAATTGTTTTAATACCAAATATAAGTTCTTGAATTTAGACTTTTCAAAAGGCCACTTATTCAAACTTAAGAACACTTACCCTAAATACCTAAATATCCCAAGACTCTTAATTGAATGGGTGCATTTTTTATTTATGGGCCCTTTTCCTCTATATTTAAACCTTATGAATTATCTATTGAATCGTTCTCTTTAGTTGTTTATAATAAACATCATTTTTTTGGGTTTTTGTCATTGTTATACCCTAAACTTCAAACCCAAGACTAAATTCCATTTTCTTGGGCTTTTGTCATTGTCATAATTTATATGTATGAATATTGGTATCTTCAAAAAAGCTAACTTGTAAAGGTATCAACACTTTTTCTTCACTTTTAGAGCTCCTAATAGCTGATTTGGATTTGGATTTCTTGTTTGTTATATAATGAAGTTGGTTGGCCTTTTTCTAAATAATAGTATTACTTGTATACTTGCACCTCTTGTTTGTTTTTTGTGTGTTGCTATCTAAATGTGTGTTATGTCTTCCTTACTTACACTTATGACATAACTATAAAGGTTAATTTATTTTTGTTAAAGTGTATCTTTGAATAACATAAAATGCAACACTTTGAAGTATATACCCTTTTGTTTTAGTTAAAAGAAATCATTTTTTGTGTTATCTATCTATATTGTAATAGAGTATGTGTGAGCTTCAATGCATTATTTATACAATTTCTTTAAAATATTTAATATATATTAAGTTTTTTATTCAATGAGTGTTTACATATTTTTGAAATAATAAAGAACCCTTAATTATATACTAGTTACATTGAAACTATCATTGAATGTGGATTTTGATCTCTATAATTCAAGTCACTTATTAACACTCCTAAAATCAAGGGAGTGACTATTGCTACTACAATGAGATTAAATAATGAATTAAATCTTTTCAAAGGAAACTAGAAATAAATTTTTTTAAAATAAAAAAAACTATTTAATTAAATACTAGCTAAATCTAGAAATTTCTCCTAAAATTGCCATTAAATAGAACTCTTAATCTTCATGATGCAAGGCACACATCACACTTTAGATTTTGGCTTCAATACTCCTTTTAAAGCTAAAGGTGTGACTGCTACTACTACCTTTTCCTCAATCAAGGCATAGCCACGACTTAAATAAAATTCTTATGTTCCACAAATAGAATTTTAGCTAATGGTTTTATAAAGATCTTGGCAAGTTATTGTCAAAAGGTAATGTATTGAACCTTTAGTAAATTTTTGTATATTAAATTCTTAACATAGTAATAGTGTTTTGACAATATATCATAACTTCTAGTGTTGCAGCATTTTAGCTATTTTGTTATTAATATAAAGAGCAATTGGTATGGAGGATTGACCAAAACCTCAAGGAGATTCTTGAAACCAAAGAATTTACCTAAAAATAGCAAAATACTTTATTTCTGTGGAGGAAAGAGTAATATAGGTTTGTTTTTTATAGTAAAACCCTACTCTTTTTAAATTTATGATTACCTTTGTAATCTAAAAAATTTCTGTCAATATAACTTGAACTATAAAGCACTCTAAAAGCAACAATTTTCTTTATATAGCATATTATAAATTTAGATGTTCCAATATTTTCTACCAAAATTAGGAGAAAATTGGTTGATAATATAAACCACACCACAAACATAAAATCTCCAAGGAAATTTCAAATTAATACCTTTGTTATAGCTTGGAAATTTAGCATTTATCAAAAACTTAATATTTTCAGGTTCTGAAGGCAAATAAGAAGGATTTATCCATAACTTTTAAGTACTTCAGTCAAGTATTTTTGTTATGGGACATGTTAAAAGATTCTATTTTTCTATCATGGTGAATTTTAAAATCAATAAAGTATCAAAGTTTCTCTAAGTTCTTTATTAGCAAAAACTAGGAACATTTACAGATTTTTAAGGATAAACTTGGAAATTCTTTTTTATAGAAGAAAAAATGACTTATCAATGTAGAGAGCAATAATAAATAAATTGTTCCCTTCTCACTTGATATAAATATTGGATTTAGGAGTGTCAGAAAATCCTTCAGCTTTGAAAAAGTATTGATTTTCTACCACAATGCTTTAAAGGTTTATTTAAAGTTATAAAGAACTTTTTTTGAACTTCCACAAGATATATAGATTAAGTATAGTATTTTGGCTATTAAATGTAGATCTTCTTGCAAATTTCTATTTAGGAAAGTAGTCTTGATATCAATGTGATAAATCTCAAATAGCAAAAGTAAACAAAATTTTAACACTTATCATCTTCACCATTGAAGAGTATGTCTTAAGATAATCTATACCATATTGATTTTTTGTAGCCTTGTACAATGGGTTAAGCTTTATGATAGTTAATAAAACCATCAGAGTTGAGTTTTGTCTTATTGACCCATCAACTCCTAAGAGTTTTAATTGAAATTGGAAGAACCACTTTATAAAAAATGTGCATACAAATGAATGATAGACATGTTTTCTTTATCCATTGCTTGCTTCCATTGAAATAAACAAGGATTGGGGTATTTTCAACAGGTTATGAATTAAATACTTCAGTATATCTAATTTTCAAGATATAGTCAAGTGTTGTTCTTGGTAATGCCAAAATATGAACGAAGCAACCTATTGGCAAGTCTATGTTGCTTTATCATCTCTGGTACAACCTTTAGCTTATGTTGCTGATAGAAAATTTGCAGACTCTACAAAACAAAAGCTCATGAAGCTAATACATTTGAATTGGTATGTTATTTTCTTAGTTCATCTCCTTCATTTCCAGCTCAGGAAATGCCTCTAAGTCTTCTGTACATTGTGTCTTTTCTCATTTTTCCAGAACAACACGATGTGCATGTCTTGCTTAAGAGGAATCCTTTCTTCACAGTGCAAATGCACCTGGTTTGCATATGAATCAATGTGAAAGGATCATCCCAATCTTGGTAACAGAAGTTAGTGCTTCTCATGAATTGCAAGGGAGCTCTCAAAGTTTCCAGGCTCATGGTATCAAACTCAATGATTTCAGCTACTATCAATGATTGATGCTTGTGCTGGTATGACAAGCCAAGTCTCTTAGATTGTGGGAGATGCCAGCAAGCAAGAACACATTAATCTCCATGTATGGCTAGTGTGGAAGCTCCATATTAGTGTTCCAAGATTTGTGGATAGAACCATCATGATATTGTATCATGGATCTTGATCCTCTCTTACTATGCTCAAAATGGAAGGAGCAAGGAGTCTTTGGAGATGTTTTGGGAGATAAGGATAAATGGATTTTGTCAGCCAAACACCATCACCTTTAGCAAATGGCTGTATTTCATCTCAATAGTGTGCACTATTCCATCCCCTGTAGTAGAGATGATATTGTGCTGGGGCATATTCTCAAATCTAGAGCATGTCTATGAAGGTCTAAGATGTTATTGACTTTCACTTGACTTACGAAATGGGTTTGTGTTTTGGCTCTGGCAATGTCTGCTAAGTTTGGCAAGTTGATGGATTTTAATTTTTAGCTCAAAGTTTTATTCTTTTTTGTTTTCAATTCTTCAAAAGTGAAGTCTAGTTTATTTTTGGATCTTCTTACTATTCTGTTTAATCAATCACATAGATGTTAGATTTGGATTGTGCTATGATATTGTTTAGTCATCAATTATGCTTTGTAAGTAGCAATGTTTAGTTTTCTTAATAGTAGTGTTATTCCTATTTAATAATCCAATTAATCAACTGGAAGTTTATAATTATAAACACAAGATTAATCTTATTGAATATAAATGACTGGATGGTAAAAAAAGCTAGAATATACTAAGAAGTGTTTAGAAAAGTTTATAAATTAAAAAAAAATTAAATATAATACTTAAAAATTAATAAAAATGTTTATAAATTATAAATATAAGATTAATCTAAATGAATAACAACTGTTGGTCTTTAGATATCTAAGAATATTATAGGTATATCCACAACCATCCTATACAATAATTACTAAAATTAATTATTATTATAACTATTAAAGATTAACTATATAAAAGATAAATTATTTTTCTAAGCTGGAATTATAATTACAAAACACACTCATGGTCAAGATTCTATAATCAGGGAATCTTCACATAGTGTTTAAACATCCTTTTATGTTTAATATTATTGGTAAACAAGTAAATATGGTAACAGCATTTTAAAAACAACAACGACTCCTCTTCGTGCTGGGCTCTTCATTAAAACTGTCATCTTGCTCATTACTAGGTTTATAGACAAGATCAAAACACACAGCACCTAATAAACCTACAAATAAAACATAAAAAACTAATAATAAAAGCATTAAAATAACTTACCAAATGGACTCTGCACTGGATACCCATATAAACATTCATGAACCTCTGGCACAAGCACCACCATCCATTCAGATTTTTTGACTTTGGAAATCAAGTTACCCAATGCTTGATCGGTCATAAAGACCATGACGTAATTCTCACCTGAAAATACACACAATTGACCTCCCACAACTAGAAAATGAATACCTTCATTATTGTTTCTCAAGGTTTTCTTCCCAATTGGCTTGCTGTCCTTCATAAACATCCCTGTTATACAATACATTACATTGAGCTTTATAAACGTTTTTTATACCTGTTGCTCTCAATAAATAAAAAGAAGTCCTGCAGCTTGTTCTCAGCGTCCACGAGCTGCAGATGGATGAAGCTATCAGGTCCGTGGTTGCCAACACCAACCCAATAAAACTGCTGACTGTTGTCTCTTAGGAAGGCCTGAAATACGTCTGCTGTATGTATCTGATGAGGCTGATGTGTCGGACGTCCAAACTTTGCACCAGGTGGCAGCCAGAACTTCAAAGCTCGCATACTTGCAAGAATGTGGAAATTGGAGGGAAGAATTTCTTCAAGTCTAAACTCAAATACTGTTCCCTTTCCACTTTCTACCAAATGTGTACAGTTTTGCCGCTGCGATCAGGGCCTGCAGTGTATTGGGAGCAACAGAGGAAGCCAAGGATGTTGAAGGCAGGATGGTGAAGGCTGAGTCGCTGGGAACAGGCGCAGCTTTGCACTCTCAAGCATTCAAGAGTGGCTACGACACGGACGTCAGTGTGGCGAACGCATTGGTGGACATGTACGTCAAGTGTGGGAGTTTGGCCGAAGCTCGGAAAGTTTTTGATGGGATGACGCCTCAGGATCCCGTCTCTTGGAACGCTTTGATCCTGGGATATGTCACAAACGGGGAAGCGAACAGCAGCTGCGTTCCAACCTCTCGAACGTTATGTGCGGCACTCAAGGCTTGCAGCAGTCTAGCAGGGAAGACAGATGGGGGATGGAAGGCTCGTGAAAGTAGAGGAGGCACTCGAGAAAGCCGTGGGGATTCACGCTCGGGCGGCCAGCTTTGATCTCGACTCGGACACTTTTCTAGCCAGCGCGCTCGTCAGCTTCTACGCCAAGTGTGGAAGCATCCGGGACGCCTGGAAAGTGTTCCAAAGGTGCGCCTTCACGACGCAGTATCCTGGATTGTGATGATACTCGGGCTCGCCGAAAGTGGTCAGGGGGAGCTTTCCCTGCAACGCTTCCATCAAATGCGAGCACAGGGATACAGACCCGACGCGCCAACTTTCGTGGCTGCTCTCAAAGCTAGCAGCAGCGTGGGAGCCTTGGAGCCTCTGAAGGGAATTCACGCAGATATCTCCAGGTGTGGACTCAGGACGATCCCGTTGTAGCGAACGGCGTCGTCGATGGCTATGGCAAAGCCGGGGACGCAGCGAAGGCACAGCAGGTCTTCGAGTCCCTGGAGAAACCAGACGCGGTTGCCTGGACGTCCGTGATAGCAGCACACAGCCGCGACGGGGACACGCGAATGGTTTTCAAGCTCTTCGACGAGATGCAAGACGAAGGCTTCCAACCAGATGGGATCGCACTTCTTTGCGTCCTCACGGCGTGCAGCCATGGCGGGCTTGTCCGCCAAGCGAAGTGCTACTTCAAGGAGATGGAGGCGAAGTATGGAGTTTGTCCCGGGGCCGAGCACTACCAGTGCATGGTGGACGCTCTCGGCCGCGCAAACGAGCTGGAGGAAGCGGTGGAGATGGTGAAAGCCATGCCTTGCGAGGCGAGTGGTGTTGCTTGGAGAACGGTGCTGGGCGCTTGCAAGCAGTGGAAGAATGCGGCGGTCGGAAAGCTTGCTTTCTATCGGCTGGTTGAAGTGGAGGCGAGGCACGAGGCGGGGTATTTGTTTTGATGGAGGCGATCTACGCGAGCAGTGGCATGAGGGAGGAGCAAGCTCAAATCCAGGAGTTGAGAAGGAAGAACATATATCCAGCTCTAGATAGAGCAAAAAATTTAAGATTGGGGATGCCAGGAGTCGAACCCGGGAAATCTTTTCAGTATTGAAAATTTGAAAACCACTACATCCCCTTTAAAAACTTGTGGAAGAAGATCGCTTTAGGTTTGTTATATATGGCAACAAAGAGGCGCGAGAAATTTTAAAAAGATGCCAGAATTATGCTATTCTTGCACGTGGTCGTCTTCTATTTGCTGTTGGGCGAGCTGTGAAGGTTTAAGCTCGTAGAGGGAAGAAGAGCCCCTTGCTTGCTAGGTTATCGCATTCTCTGTAAGCGCTCTTCGCCTCCGACAGCTAGGCCGTCGAAATCCATCGCCTTTGTGAGCGCCCGGGCCAATCCGGCTTCCGGCCGCCAGCAGGTACTGTGGTCGCGCTCGATCGATCCTTTCTCCGATGTCAAGCATTTCTAATCTTTCTGCTGCTGGCGCCAATGCAAAGATTTCGAGCGTGCGATGGAGCCTGGCAGTGGAGGTCACGAAGAAATTCTAAAAATCTCGGAAAAGGTACTGTTCTACGTTGTAATCCCTTTGCCGGCAGCACTGTAGTGGATCTGTTCCACAGAACGATGAGCCTCGACTACCCGCGCAACCTCTAGACGAGTTTCCGGTACAATGCAGATTTCTTTCCTAGGATTTGTCTCGAAATCTGGCAATAATCTTTCATGCAGGGAAATGAGAACCCAGCGCTCGAGCAACCGGTATGCTTTCAAAGATTTGACTCGATCTTCTCTTTAAGAGTCGTTAAAAGTTCCTTCTACAGAATTCCAGGCCCCGCGAGCTCACGACAAATTGGTACAAGCGTTGTTCTTGCAAAAAAATGAGTCCGAGCGATATGTGTTTTGTAGCAAGGATTGGCGAGTCTATGTTGCTGGGCGTTATCATCTCTGGTAACCTTGTGTGCTTCTGCGTGCTCTCGACAGTCCAAGGAAAAGGTTCGTTCACAGCTTTGGCTTACTTTGCTGATAGAAAGTTTTCTAATGCAGAATCTCCAAGACGACCAAGCTGACATTGAGGATGACGACGACGCACTTGAACTGGTATGCTATTTTCCTAGTCCGGATCTTTGCCTGCATTTAAGCTTTGAAATCGTGCTCAGGATATGCAGCCTCTCCGCATCGTGTCATGTTCGTTCATCCAGAAACTGGTCAACAGCACGGAGTGCACCGATGTGCCCATCTCGCTCAAGCGGAATCATTTCCTCACGGTGCAGAATCGCGGGACATACGCTCCCTACACCCGGTTTGCGGAAGCATATGAATGGTTGCGAATGTATCGTCCCGATCTCGGTAAGAGCTCACTGTTTCTTATGGAATTCTTTTCAGCTTGAGCATGATCACCAGGTAACATCAGTGACGAATTCGAACCAGCTGACGACCCAGCGGTGTGGAAGTTCCTGTGGCACGGCACCGAAACGAGGAACGTTGCTTCGATCATGGCGAACGGAATGCAGTCAACGCCCAGTTATGCGAGGCTCCACACTAGCAATGACTCCAAGGACCACACGCTTGTGCTGTGTGCTACACTCTTCGCGCATAAGGTGGACGATGATCGTTTCACGGTGGACAGCGAGCGCCCATATCTCGTTCTTCCGCTAGCGGAGTGGCATCTTCGCCGCCAAGAGCTCCAGCCCGGCCAAATGTGCTAGCGGGAGAAAACATTAGAAAGAAGACAGACAAAGAAAAAAAGACAAGACCGATAGCCCAGAGAGAATTTTCTTTTCCTCGCTACTTCACCGGATTTCCGCGAACAAGCGCCATAAAAAAATCACTGTTGCAGAAGAAAGCTTTACTAACGAATCGCGGATGCCGACAACGATTCTTTGACCAATAAAAGTCAATGTAAGTCAACGGCTCTTTCTCGGGCTTGCTTATTCAGGAGTAATAAGTAATTTCCCCTTTTCGTCTCGACTCTGGCCGAGCTAGGGACCTGAGAGAAATGCGATGGAACGTGACAAGATCGGGCCATGGAGCAAGATCATTCTCATGCCAAGGTTGGTTTGTCAACTTTGGGTTGGGTCTTTTTCTTTTGCTATTCCATCACCTTTCCTGATTGAAAGAAGAAAGAAAGATTGGTGTAAGGCTAGCCTGCGGTTTTAATGTACACAAAGCCTTAAAAAAAAGATCAAGTTTGATTTATCAGTGTGCAAGCTTTTTCTGAATGGCTCAGAACCAAGTTAAAAATCCAGCGTTTGCATGCAGCATTATGGCCATAAAAGATAAACCACATTTTTGTCCAATGATCATATGCCAAAAATAATTTTTTAAAAAGAATTCTAAATTTATATTTAACTAGTGATTTTGTATTATACTCCACAATAAACTATTTGAGTAAACATGTAGTTTAATCTCTTTAAATAACAAAATAACTTTAAAGTAACCATATTATAATATTTAGGATGAGATCAATGTGATAAATCTCAAATGGTAGCTCTTAGGAGTTAATGGGTCAATAAGACAAATCTCAACTTTGATGGTTTTATTAGCTGTCATAAAGCTCAACTCATTGTACAAGGCTACGAACAAACAATATGGTGTGGATTATCTTAATGGGAACCATGAGAAAGAATCCAAAAGGCAAAGTTAGGCCAAGAACACTAATGTGTTAGGGGCTAATAAATTGTGGGAAAGACAAAGTGTTTCCAAGGATGGATTCCTAATTGCTACTTGTGAAGATGATAAGTGTTAAAATTTTGTTTAGAATCACTTTATAAAAAATATACATACATGATAGACATGATTTCTTTGTCCATTGCTTGCTTCCATTGAAACAGACAAGGATTGGAGAATTTTCAATAGGTTATGAATGAAATACTTCAGTATATCAAATTTCCAGATATAATTAAGTGTTGTTCTTAATGCCAAAATATGAGGAGCAAAGCAACCTATTGGCAAGTCTGTGTTGCTTTATCATCTCTGGTACAACCTTTAGCTTACATTGCTGATAGAAAGTTTACAGACTCTACAAAACAAAAGCTTATGAAGCTGACACATTTGAATTGGTATGGTATTTTCTTAGTATGTCTCCTTCATTTCCAGCTCAGGAAATGCCTCTAAGTCTTCTGTACATCATGCTTTCTCATTTTTCCAGAACAACATGATATGCATGGCTTGCTCAAGAAGAATCCTTTGCTCACAGTGCAAATGCATCTGGTTTGCATATGAATCGATGTGAAAGGATCATCCCAATCTCAGTAAGAGAAGTCAATGCTTCTCATGAATTACAAGGGAGCTCTCAAAGTTTCTAGGCTCATAATATCAAGCTCAATGATTTTGGCTATTATCAATTATTGATACTTGTGTTGTTAAAGGGATTTGCTACAAGCCAAGTCTCTTAGATTGTGAGAGATGCTAGCAAGCAAGAACACCATAGAAACCCATTAATCTCCATATATGTCCAGTATAGAGACTCCATACTAGTGTTCCAAGATCCATGGGTGAAGCCATCATAATATTATATCCTAGAACTTGATCCTCTCTTACTATGCTCAGAATGAAAAGAGTAAAGTGTCTTTGGAAATGTTTTGGGAGATAAGGTTAAATGGATTTTGTTAGCCAAATGTAAATAACTAAAGGGAATGATTTGAAATACGATCCATAATAAGGGTTTAAATATAAAAGTAAAAGATCCATGAATAAGAGTGCACCCTTTTTTCAAATCAGTTAAGGGTCTTGGGATATTTGGGGTTAAATATCTTTAGGTTTGAATAATATTAGGTTGGGTGATTTCTTAGGAAGTTTAAATTTAGGAGTTTACATTTGGTATAAAAAAAGGGTCTTGAGTCTGACTCTATTGGTTAGGTAAGGGAATCACATTATATGTTGATTTGACATTTAGCAAACCTAAGGGGTAGGGTGTCAAGAGAGTGGGGCTCTTAGAAGAGTTGTGGCTTTTAGCTTCCAAAACAACCAAAAGGAACAACTCGAAAGAAGTTCCATAAAGGTTCAAATATAAAGAGAAAGGGCCCATGAATAAAAATGCACCTTCTTTTTCAATCAATTAAGAGTCTTGGGATACTTGGGGTTAAATATCCTTGAGTTTGAATAGTACTAGGCTGGATGACCTCCCGGGCAGTCCAAATTTAAGAGTTTACACCAAACACCATCACCTTTAGCACTTTATATCTCAAGTGGCTATATTTCATCTCAATAGGGTGCATTATTCCATGAGACTAACATATTCTTCGCTTGCATTTAAAGCTCTAGGCGTTCCATTCCATTCTTTAGTGTCCTTTTCTCTTCCCATTCACCACACGTGAACATGGTACCCTAACCCTAAGTTTAGCAAGTTTTTGGCTAATATAAATTAACTACAGGTGATTCTGTTTAATCAATCACATAAATATGTCAGATTTGGATTGTGCTATGGATATTGTTCAGTTGTCAATTACGTTTTGCATGCAGCAACACTTAGTTTTCTTAATAGTAGTGTTATTCTTATTTATTAATCCAATTAATCAAATGGAAGTTTATAATTATAAACATATTTATAATTTACACAAGATTAATGTTATCAAATATCAATGATTAGATGGTAGAACAAACTAGAATATACTAGGAAGTGTTTAGGAAAGTTTATAAATTAAAAAAGAGAAAACTAATAATTACTGGAACTAATTATTATTATAGCGATAAAAAAAATTTAAGCTGGAATTGTAATTACAAAACACAAGAGTAGTGTTTAACAATGTCAAAACATCCTTTTATGTTTAATATTATTGGTCAACGAGTAAATATGGAAACAGCATTTTAAAAACACCAACGACTCCTCTTAGTGCTGGGCTCTTCATCAAAACTGTCATCTTGCTCATTACTAGGTTTGTACATGAGATCAAAACACACAGCACCTAATAAACCTACAAATAAAACATAAAAAACTAATAATAAAAGCATTAAAATAACTTACCAAATGGACTTTGCATTGGATACCCATATAAACATTGATGAACCTTTGGCACAAGCACCACCATCCTTTCAGATTTTTTGACTTTGGAAATCAAGTTACCCAATGCTCGGTCATAAAGACCATGGCGTAATTCTCACCTGAAAAGACACACAATTAACCTCCCACAACTAGAAAATAAATACCTTCATTCATCCATTGCTTTATTGTCCATATTTTTTTCTCAAAGTTTTCTTCCCAATTGGCTTGCTGCCCTTCATAAACATCCCTATTACAGTACATTATAGTGAGCTTTATAAAGATTTTTTATACCTGTGTTTGCTCTCAATAAATAAAAAGAAGTCTTGCAGCATGTCCTCAGCATCCACCAGCTGTAGATGGATGAAGCTATCAGGTCCGTGGTTGCCAACACCAACCCAATAAAACTGCTGACTGTTGTCTCTTAGGAAGGCCTGAAATACATCTGCTGTATGTATCTGATGAGGCTGATGTGTCAGATGTCCAAACTTTGCACCAGCTGGCAGCTGGAACTTCAAAGCTTGCATAGTTGCAGGAATGCAGAAATTGGAGGGAAGAATTTCTTCAAGTCTAAACTCAAATACTGTTCCCTTCCCCTCACAATCATGAAAAAGCCACAACATATAGATCATCAACACAATGGACATCAGATCAGATACCTCCTTGTTTTTGGGATTAGAGATTAGTTTAGGTAGACACAAATCCTGGAGCTCCGCCACATGTAGGTTCTCGACAAGATGGTAAATGAGGAGTGGAGAGAACATGATGGAGAAAGCAGCATCTTCATCTCTTGATAATTTAATCTTCTCGTTAGATGGCAGCTCCTGTAATTGACAACCATAAGTTCTGACATAAACTCTGAAATATCAAAATAGTACCTCGTTGTGTAAGAGTCCAACTAAACCGCAAGACTCTAAAGACCCCCAGTTATCTTTATATCTGCTACCTGGCCAGACTAGTTCTTCCCGACGGAT